TGTTGATTATTTCTGAAATAAAAGTCATTAAAATTTCTAAAACGTTAAATTTCTAATAATTTTGTTACTTTTACTCATTTATGAATTAATTTAAAAAAAACCATTAGCTTTTTCTCAATGGAAGAAAAGATTGGTTTATTCAGTTTAATCCTTCAATTGCCATATTTTCTGCGCCAATTCACTTATCTGATCTGTCGATCGCTAAAAAATCTGATCCATCAATCAGTCGGCTCAACAACGGATGCATACACCGGTAATAATAACAATAGATAATAAAATTTATCAGCAATTTTTATTATTTAATGAAAGTAAAAAAGTTTTGAAGTTTAAATTTAGAAGGAGATAACAATTTATTTCTATATTGAATCGAAATATTAACTCTCTCTATCCCCAAAAAAACTCTCATTGATTTCATGCACATTGCGCTCTCGGGAAAATGATCCATTATAACTTATATTCTGAGATTTGCAAAATTAAATGCATTGAAGATAAAGAAAACGCGTTTTTGTTCGTTATTAATATTTTTTAATCGTTTTCAAACGTAAATATAATCATAATAAAATTCTTTTTAATATCGTGAAGTCTAAATTGCATTGAAATTGTCTTTAAATTATTGCTTAATGTTGTCTTAAATTTTGACTGGAAATTTTTGTTTAAAATTTATAACTTTTCCTTTTCACAACAGATGTATTAAGCAGTTTATGTTTTATTTTAATTTTCATTTATTATATCTGACAAATGTAGCATACCTTACTGAACAGTAATAATACTAAAAATAGTAATAATGACAATCGTAATAACAATAATAATAAAACGATGATTGTAATAACAATAATGATAACAATAATGACAATAATAAGAAAGATGGCAATAATGTTGAAAATAATAATAATAATAAATTTTCATCGCAATAATGACATTAATGAAGTAACAATTTTTTTTTTGATTTTTTAACTTTCCCATTGCTGATTAATAATATTTAAATCTCGGGAAGAAATATTTAAGTACCATTCATTTGTAATCATTTAACCGATGAATGATAATTAAATTTTCATCTTTTCTATTCTATTTATTTGCAATAAAATATGTAGCATTGAAAAATTTTTAAGTCGATTTTATTAAAATATTTAATTGAATTTTTAAATTGGAATTTTTTTATATTAATTGTTGGATAATTGCAGATGCTTTGCTGTTATTTACTCCAACACTTTTTCCAAATTCGGTCCGTGAAATTAACCGTTTCTTGCGAGCAGCGCGAATATCGCTAATTCTAATTGATCTATGCGACGTTGTTTTCCGTCCATTTATTTCTCTTACAATATGCTCAAATACAAATGATGAAGACTTCTTCCACGGTAATCCATAATATTTATTTGATTAATTAGCCAGCTGATTTAATCCACTAAAATTTGAAAAAAATTCGAAATTTTTTTAATTATAAATTTTACTGAAAGTATTTGAAGAAAACTGAAAAAAAAAAATAAAATGCATTGTTATTCATATTACTGGAAATATATGGGAAAAATGGTGCAATTAATATAATCATTTTTTTTTGGATCATATTTATCTAACGAATTAAATCTCTTTAATTAGTCTAAAGTTTTCTAACTGATTGGAATTTACCTATTATTTAATTGCTTAATCATCGTTTAATTAAAGGTAATCCATATTCGAGGACTTTTTTTCCATAAGCCTGTTTTACAATTGATTGATATGATTTCCTTATTTGTTATCTTTTTTTCTGGAATGTTTCATTGACATTTTCTTTTCAATATTTTAAATGTAAGAAATATTTACAGACATATTAGACAGTTTAACATATCTTTGCAACTGGCTAAATTCGGATTTTGTATACAATGGAACTATCAAAAGTATCGATAATGATAATAACGATAATTATATTGGTAATAATAAATATAATGATTATGACAACGATGAAAATTATGATGACAATTGTAGTAATGCTGATAATGATGATGTGTTCTGCTCAATGAAGAAATTACCTGATGCTACCAATTATTATCAGATTACTTATCTTATGGATTAAATTATTGGAAAAGAATTGTTACTACAATGGTAATTATTGTTGTATTGATGACGTATTTACTAAAACTAATTAGATTTTATCGAATTGCTATGTAAAATAATTAAATGACTAATGCATTGAGAATATTATAATTCCGGAATAACTACTTCCGGAAACAATTAAATTATTCTGATAAATTAAAGTATTTTTCAACATTTAGCGGCAAGATGAAAAAAAGAGGAATTATTTTGACCTTTCTTAATTAGCGAAATTGCTATTTCCATTTGACTAAGATAAGATAAACAAACAGCTTATCACATAAATTTTTTGCAAATAGCTTATCAAATTCAAGGTAGTGCTGATTTAATTAATCAATAAAGTTGATCACCGTTGATATAACCATGATTTCTTACTTTGTCATTTTAATATTTGTCTAATTTAATCAATCAATGATATCAATAATTATTGCCATGATCTGAATAATAGAGTTTGAATTATTAAGTTTCATTTCATTTTCAAATAAATTTCGACATGTACTTTTTTGACAGACAAAACTAAGCAAAAAAAAAACCATCATTTTGAAATTTAAGTTTAACAGCATATTTATAAATGAATGCAAATTATTTAATAAAAAAGTATATTCCAATAAAATATATTGCATTTTACAATGCTATTATAATTTAACGATAATAAAATTGACATTCTTTATATGTATTCTAATTTTTCCCTTAATTTGCTATCAAAGTTATTTTCCTTTTTATTTTCATTCTTGATTTTTTTTTTTTTGAAATTTGCTCAATGTTATCATATGTTGTATAAAAGGAGGAAAATTAAACTACGAAACAAAGTTTTAAATGAATTTCACATTGAAATAAATTATTGGAACAGATTCGGATCACATGAAACCATTTGATCGTAACATAGTCCACTTTTTGTTGTAGCATAATTCATTTTCAGTCGTCTAATTTCTCTTCCAGGTTGCGTATGCTAAATAGCTTTGTCAATAATGTTGCTGATAACGATAAGCAATCGTTGCCAGCTGGAAAGCATTTACACATTTGTTTCAAATATGACGTATAAGTGTTATCAAAAGAAGAACCAATATCGCAGATAATATCGATAATATGATTGAAAGAATTTTCATAAACATCATAAATGGTAGATGAATATTACTAAGAGAGGTACCATGAGTACCACAAATAGTATCTTGGTATTGTGGGCTATAAGCATATTATTCAAGGAAGAGCACCATAACTAACACGCATGGTACCATGCTAAACGTAATAATCACCGATAATATCAATTATCAAAGTTGAGGCAAAGATTGATTCTGTTGGCGAAGGTTCATTGGTGTGAAGCATTTTTTTTTACACGACGTATTTCGTTCAATTAAAAAAATTCCATTTAAAATTAAGTTAAACTTTTCTTTTGCGTGCAAAGTTACACAAATTTTTTCCTGTGCAACGATTTTAATAATAGTTGAATTTGAAATTAATGACATCTAAAACTTCAATACATGTAAAAGATAATGGTACAATTAGAAAAATATTTTTAAAAAATATAACTTCCGCAAAAATAACGATTACTTAATATTCTGCTTAATATTTTTAAAATATAACTTCCGCAAAATAACGATTACTTTTTTTTTTTGTTTTTCTCTTTGGAATATATAGTTGTTTAGAGTAAAAAGTAAAACAAGCGATAGAAAGCACAAAAAAAAACAATACACTTTAAAACGAAATTTTAAAGGAAAAACAGTGTAAAAAAAGTAACTTTAAAATTCCATCTTTAAATCCTTCAAGCAGAAGTAAAAGAATATAAAATTTAAAATTCAGAAACAGTTGTTGGTTTTTTCATTTGTTAAATATTTTTTATATGTGTGAAAGAGAATACAGAAATGCTTTTTGTAACGAAAATTTCGTGTTTTTTAATTGTGAACGGATAAAAATGAAACGAATAGATCGATGAAATTTTTTTCAAAAAGTACAAAAACAAAAGAATTTTCTCAAAAAAAAAAGAAATAGAAATTTCATTATAGCTAACAGTAGAACTGTTCGTTCCGAAATGCCGTACAAATTATTTGTAAAAATGTATAAATGAAAATGATGAATAAAAATGGATATGGATTGCAGATTGATAAATATAATTTAATTTGTGCTAATAGAATGAATCATATTTAAACGACATGATAAAGAGTAAAGAGGTACGCAAACGAATATATTGATAGATGAATAAGCAAAGATGAAAATAGTCTAACAGAGAGATTTAGCTAATTAGTGTATAAAAGAATGAATCATACTTAAAAGATGTGATCAGTGATAAAATAGTAATAAGAATGAATGAGATGATGGTAAAGTTAAAATGATTGATTAGGATGGAAAAATTCTGCTTATTAAATTTATGGTTTTTCATCTCTCTGCTCTATCTCTACTTTTCTCGTTTCCTTCTTTTCATTCCAAAATATTATTGCTGCTTTTTTTTTTTCCAGTCTTCCTTCCTCCTTCCCGTACTTTTTTATTTTTATTTATTTTCTAAAATCGAAGAAGAAGGAGAAATGAAAATGATAAAGAGGAAAGAGAAGAAGCGAGGAAAAAAAAAAGAAAATAAATTTGATATTTTAAATGAGTGGGTGAAATGGATTATCTTTGAAAACTGCTAAGTTAACATCAAAATATTTGTGTCTAACCTTCGAGCTCATCCCTATATATCTCATCATCCTCACCTAACATTTCCCATGCTGAACCATCATCGATAATATCAACCTTAATCTTAACTTTACACCCATTCCACCAAACCTATCTTTACCATCCATTCATTCGAACAGCTGCATTTCACTGAAAGCAATCATTTTCTAACTTTGTGAAGAACAACTTTCAAGTCATTTCTATTTCATTCTTTTCTCCTTCTTTTTTTGTTCTTTTTTTTTTTGAGAGAGAGAGAGAAATTTATTGAATAACCAATAAATTGCCCAAAAATGTCACATCGTACAACCGCTGGTGGTATTGGCTTTGCTGTTATGCAAAAGGTAAGCTTTAAAAAAAAGAAAAAAAGGGGGAAAAAAATGGAAAATTCATTTTTTTTAAGAGTCAAATTTGAAACTCATGAAATTTACTGTTTTTAAATTTGAAAATTGATAACTCAGAAGGAGAAATTACAAAATGAATTTCACCAAAAAATTTACAACTAATCGAATATATGTCATTGCATTTTTCCATCTTTTTTTCAGATTTTTATTTTTATTTTGTAGAGAGAAAAAAAAAACGCTTCGATTGATTGAAAATGCTTGTTAGCCATAAAAAAAAAAATAAGTCCGAACAAAAATTTGGCTTTAAAATTTGTAATAATAAATTAAGACAAATTTTGGTAACTTTTTGTTAGTTGTGACATCAATTCTTATCAATGATAACAATGATAATAAGTGCTTTACAGCAAGCATCTAAATTCAATCCTGATGAAGCAGAAAGTTTGTTGGAATGGATTAAAAAAATGAGCGGTGAAAATATTTCAACCCAAGGAACACCTGAGAATTTCTTGAAATTACTAAAGGATGGAACTCTCCTTTGCAAGTAAATTTATTGATATTATTCAAAATTTTTTTTTCAAATAATATTACTAAATCCAAATGGATATAAATTTATTATCAGTTGAATTATTCAGGTTTCAGAAAAGATGTCCGATTTTAGAAAATGTTGACTAATAATTGCATAAAGCAACTTAGCTTTACGATTAAAAGATTGAAAATTGATGCAAACTAGTTAGAAATTATGTTACTGCAATTTTTTCTAACAGTCAAAATTTAATAAAGTCTTAAAAATTAGTCGGATTAAAAATAGAACCAAAAAAGAAATATGTTAAATAATGATTAAAATTTTTTTTTGTTATTATTTTTCCTCTATTACTTCAAAAATTTTCTTTTGAAAATTCATTGCGAATTTTTTTTATTCAGAAGTGAGAATTTTTTCATTAATTTAGAGATAAGGATACTTTTTCTAATAATGACAATTTCAATATCAGTGATGTAAACGAATTACGGTATTAGTGAATTATTATTGCTATCATCATTGTGATCATTATTGTTTTACTATTATTATTACTATCATTATTGATAATAGTAGATAATAGTAGTTATAATAGTAGTAATTACTGGTAATATTGTCGTTATTTTTTTCCGTCATTGTTATTTATGATTACTATTAATTGCACGAAAAAAGTATAGAAAAATCTGGAAATTATTGCTAGTTTAAGTATAAAATAGCTAAGCTGGAAATTACCAAGTCGGCTAGTTGATTTTTACAAGAAAATAAACCGATGAATCATTTGACATATAAAATTTTCATAAACTTTTAATGCTTATTAATCAATGTCTGAAAAAATTCCGATAATCTCTTTCATATTCAGCGCTATCCTTTATCAATATAATATCATCCGTTCCGTTAATCATTCATTTGATGATAAAATTTTTTCATTTTTCGAACTAAGGAAGAATGAGAAAGGTTAAAATTAAACTAAAAATTTACATACTTGCAGCTTTTTTTTCTTATTTCATTTTATCCTAAAAATATCATTTTTCTACGAGATTTCAGCAATTCTTTTCTTTTTTTTGGACTTTTTGAAAATCATATCTGTCATCAAATTTAATGTTAAATATTTTTCGTACAATGTTGGAATAGCTGTAAGTCAGATATTAGTAAAATTGCTAAACGAAAGAAAATGATGCATTTTTTGATGACTTAAACAGATCATCATTCTGGATGTGAACAATTAACAGCTGTAATAATGATTGAGCAATGAAAGAAAATAACCTCATCTTTTCTTTCTTTCTCGATTTTTTTTTCTTGAAATTACGATTTGGCACTTTTATTTACATTTTTTTTACAGATTTGATTGCAAAATATTGATTGATTAATACAAATAATTGCTGAATTTCAATGAACAATTTTAGCATTTTAATTTTGTTTCAGAATTTCTTCATTGCGCTTTTACTTTTTAAAAGAGAAATTTCTAAAAATTAAAAGTGTAAATTTTCAATTTTTAGTTACTCTTCATTATCTCTCTTTTTTTTTTGTTTTCAGAGAAATAAAATCAAATTATAAAAAATGCATGTTTTTTTTTTTTTCAATTAATCAGTAAATAATCAGAATTTGCAGTAATAATTAAATCATTAGCATTAAAGAAGTTCGAGAAGGAGAAGTTTTAGGTGAGCTTTTTATTTCTTTCCTCAAAATATTTTTTGATTAATGAACTTGCTAATTATTAAGCAAATTTCTCAGTAGTGAACATAGAAATGAAAATTTGTTCAATGCATTTTAATTTCAGATTAGCAAATGGTATTGAGCCGAACGCTATAAAAAAGATTCAAAAACCAATTTCAAATTTTGCATGCATGGAAAATATTAACGCATTTGTTGCATGGGCTAAAACGATGGGTGTACCAACGGAGGAAACTTTCCAAACAGTTGACCTTTTTGAGGGTCGTGATCTATTTTCTGTTTGCGTCACACTATTGTCGCTTGGCCGAAAAGTTCGTTCATTCTTTCAATATATTTTTTTTTTTTGCAATTTTTTTTCAAACAAACTTTTATTTAAATATTAAAATCCATCATTCCATAAATATTAAAATATCAAAACACAAATATTAAAATTTTTCATATATTTTAAATCTGAAAATAATAGTTATTTCAAAATATTTTAAATATGAAAATAGTGGTTATTATTAGTATCATCATGTTGATGGGTCATTTTTTTCAAGAATGAATCTTTTTTATAAAATTTATTCATCTTTAAATGAATTTTTATTTACTTCATTGACTTCGTTTACATTTTAATCCATTACCGATAATTTAACATTCTTAAATTTATACAAGCGGTTATACACGGAGATTTTGACACTATCTTAAATAATTTATTTACAGTTTACATTTATGTATTTAGCATACCTTTTGCATGCTCCATACATTTTTGCAATTTTTGCACTTACCTCAAAGTAAGCACTGCAAGTGTGTGTACATGTTCAACACTACCAGTTCACTTTTCAATTTCTTATTTCAATTTACTATCACACCTGTGATAATGTATCAATAATGTTACTTCATAGTTTATGCAGTAATAATAGTTATTAGCAGAAATAAAATTTTTAAAATTTTAACCGATTAATATTTTTTTTTTGATTTAAATCAGTGAATAAAGTTGAATAATCGGATAAATTATTCACATTTAATGCATCATCACCAAAGAAAAAATCAAATTAACTTAATTAATTTTACTGTCACTACTTTCTACTAATTTTTCAGTTGCAGCAAGCCGGCAAACCGAATCCATTCTCTGGTTGAATTCTATCAATTCATCAAGCTGAATCTAATCTATTCTTTGGTCATATCCTGAAACTAATAGAAAAGAATAAATTTAAAAAAAAAAAAACGAAAATCATGAACAACAGAGAGAATAATTATCACATTCATAAATCTTAACAAATCAATAATGAATGCAAAAAAAAAAAACAAACTTTTCTTTTTCAATCATTTTATTGCATAATTTGCAGATGCAAAAGGAGGGCAAATCACATCCAACTGTCACCAAACAAGACTTCAGTTACAAAATTCCGCAATTGTGAAATATTTCGTAATCTGTCCTGCTTGCCTTTTATTTTTCTATTTCTGTTGAAAAATAATCTATCTTTTAAAAATGATAGAGGTGAATATGAATATGTTTGCTTAAATGATATCATTTATCGTTTGTAAAATGATTCTTTTTGAGAGTAAATAAAAGTTCGTACCCTTTTTTATTATCAGCTATAGCAATTGCACGTTTGAATTCATTTTCAAATTCATGTTTGAATTTATGTTTGAATTCAAAATGTATGAAAAGAATTGCAAAACATTCATTCAAATAAAAAATGTTCAATTTGATTGCATAAAACAGTAAGCATGCAAATTGGTATAAGCAAATCATTATCAATGGATAAATCTCTCTATTTTTATGTATGTTAACGAATTTTTTAATGATTGAAATTTTATCATTATCAGCATTATCATAATATCACCAACTGTTTGCAATGAAAAATATTGATTGAATAAATTATTTGAGATGATATTGTAATTTGAACCAAACATTGAAAAATGTGCGCAAAATATGGCAATTATTTAGCAAATTGTGTAACACGAAAAATAAACAAGCAAACAATGGCGATCATCGATCAGCTGAAATATAAAAATACAAAAAAAAAAATTTAGTTCATCTTAAAAAATGTTGTTATTCAAATTTTAACATCAAATTTTAGAAATTATAGCGGTTTTTTTGTTCAATCAATAAATTAAAAAAAGATCTAAAAATTGAGTTCTAAATAATACAACGGGATGAAATCCTTGAAAAAACTTTTTCACAAAAGTTTTGCAAGAACTTTCGTTGAAAACTACCACATCTGTAAATTTAGAATTCTGGTTTTTCCTGTTTGAAATGGCAAATTAATTTGAACTCGCCGGATTTTTGAACTCTTTTTTGAGTCTTTTTGATTTTCAATGCTTCTAAACTTCTCGTGTTATTTTTTAAACCTTTGAAAAAGATATTTAAAAACTTTAAGTTAATTTTCCTAACCCCACGTTGTTTTATTCTTTTGTTAATTTTCTTAAAATTTCTGATATTTAAAAAATTTCCGGATGTCCAATTTCTTTTGGACATTTTGAAATGTCAAATTTTTAGTTTAATAATTTAATTCCTGAATTATTTTTAGGTTTTTCTACTTTGGCAAATTTTTGAATTCTTTTTAAAATTTTTTTAAAATTTCGATTCTGACAATTTTACTTTCTAACCTCTGTAAATAATTCCAAAAAAAAGAAATGTTGTGCATTCCGAAAAATTACTTTTATTAAATAACAGAATAATTGAAGTGGCAAAAACTTCAAATCCAATTCTAAAGTATGATTTATTAGCGCAAATGGTACTTCTTAGTGGTGGATAACTAAACTTAGTATAAACTAAGTTAAATTGAGAGAGTATTACAGAAAATTAGCGTCAATCTTCCGCTAACTTCCTTTTCTCGATGCTGTCTTCATCTACCAAAAATTTCACAATATAATCAATTTTTGCAAAATAACAGATTTCATTCCACATTAATTTATTCAAATATAGTTCGGAAATTTTAAAATATTACGCAAAAGTTAGATCAAATATGAAAAAATTATTGATAAGGAATCTGATATGTTGTGTGTGCAATTAATGCCAATATTAAATAGATAAATGAATAATTAAATTAATAAGTCGATGTACAAATCAATATGTAGGAATAAATATTTTTGGACAAATATTCACATGAATAACTTTACACGTTGAGATATTAATTCTATGTGAAAGAATTTGTTAGATCGAAAAAAAAGAAATTTTAATTACTTGTCAAATTTTAATTTTTTTCTCAATTTTACTTTAACTTTTTTAAATTTAACTTTTAAATTTTAATTTTTTTTTAATTTTTGAATGATAAAATTTCTGTACTTTCCTGTTTTCATTTTTTCAGTATTTATATATTCTTGATGATCAACTATGAAAAATGAAATTTTATTTGTTCGATTTGCTTCAAAAAAACAAAAAACAAAAGAACGAAGCGGCTGGATAGCATTATTGCATCATTTTTTGCAACTTATAACGTTGTAAATCGTTACTTTCTATTTTCACGTAATTTTTAATTAGAAGTTCATGATTCATTGATTTTGTTTCTTTTCTCATTTCAGAACAAATGTTTTTGCACGTACAGTGCTCTCATATATTTTGTTCAAAGTGTATTCTTTTCTGATTTTTTGCCTTGAAATTGCAATAATTTATATTTGAATTGTTTCGATCTCATCATATGCTTTAGTCCATCTATCATTTATCAGATGATAAGGAATGGCAAACCAAATCACGAATATATCCAATTGATATGCGCTATTCCATATAAATACCAACATATGATCAATCTCCGATATTGAAAAATTACAGAGTTAATAAGATTATTGTAAATATTTAATATCCTGAAAAACAGACAACAAAAAAGATATCAATCTTTTTATTGGAGTAATAATTGAGAGGAAAATTTGCCAAAAAATTGAATATTTGCGATTCATTAAATTCATTAAATTCATTAAAATTCATTAAATTATTCCAATGAATTTAATAAATACCAAAAATGCATTCACAGATTAACATACTTCAGCACAGCAAATAACTCAAATAATGACAGTTTAACAAATAATAACTTTTATCAATATCTGAAGTATAAGTAAATATAAATTGCAGTTACAATTATTTTATCGAATTTAATTATTCTCAAACAATTTATCTGAATTGTTTGCTACTTTTATTTATTATTTGGTAATTTATTAAATTTTTAATTGCACTATCTCAGTATGATTTTTTAATTTCCCTCGTTAGTTCTCTTCATATTAGGATTTGCAATTTTTTATAAATTAGTAGCTTTTTTTTTTTGTTGTTGTTTTATTAGCATTCCAGAATAATCGGTTATACATTTTAATTTTTTAACTCCAATTCTTGCAAAAAATTCTAATTTTAATTTTTTATCTTATTCTTGTAAAATGTTTTACTTTTGTTTTTTTTTCGAGTAAGTTATTCAAAATTTGTTTTGTGAACTGCTTAGTACCCAGGCAATCAAAGTTTATTAATTCGGGAGTAAAATTTTTATGATTGTTCTGCCAATTTATGCTTGTATCGTCAATTTCATTTTTATTCAACTGATTTTTCACCAAAATGAGGCGGTACTATTATATTTTTGTACTTTGAACCTTGATTTTTTCTTGCTATTATCAGGAACAATCAAAAATCAATTATAAAAACAAACTTGTGATTTTATATAATATGAAATATAAGAAGTTTAACTCTTACTGTACCGCAAATTTGTTAATTATGTTATTTACCAAATTTTACACCTTTAATTTATCACCTCTTGCGGTACAATAAAACTTCCCGACAACTGAACTTCATTGAAACTGTCAATTGACAGTACGTCAATGCCGCCAGCGTAATAATGACCGGACCGCATTGCCCACCGAAAATTATTTTCATATCGTTTTCTCTTTTGAGCTTACAGCTTTATATTAGCTTTTATCGTCTAAACGCTTCATCCAATGGCTTTTTAATCATTTTAAGCATTTATGAGTTTCATTCACTTTTATCCGATTTATTGTTTAAATTAATAATAATATGAATTCGTCATAATTTTTTAACTTCTTTACAGGTTTGATTTTGTAATTTCTCTTAATTTGTTTCCCATTTGCCGCTTTGAGCAGATATACAAATTTCTCAATACCCACACTACCCCAATTCATTTCACATGCTACAGTAATAAATTTCATTGTTCTATTTTAAAGCTTTTATTGATTTGTAGAAGAAAAAAAGAAAATTTGCAAGCTTATGAATGTTGCAGTTTTGATTGATTTGGAGTATCACTTTCATAACAAACATCGATAAAATATTTTTGCAATTAAAATTAAATGAGGAATAAGAAGTTAAACTTTTTAATTGTCATTTTGAACTTTTATCTTCAGTTTCAGCTCTTCTCAAAACTTTTCTCCAAATAGCGGTAATATTTTACTATTCTGATAATGCAGTATTTTAAATCGACAGTTTAATTCGAAGTTTGCAGTTTTTATTAGTCATCGGATGGTTCTGTAATAGATGATATAATTTGAGTGTGACGGAAAAAATTTATCACTGTAAATAATCAGTTTATTAGAATTCAATGATTCATTGCAACTTAGTTTATCTCTTACAAATTTTAATCTTCGGGAATATTTGCAACTAAATAACACGTAACCAGAAAAAAAAATACGAAAGTCATTTTTTTTTTAAATTCGTTATTGAACAATTTTACTGAAGAGCAAAAAGTTTTTTTTTTTTCTCAAACACTTTTTTGGGACATGAAATTTTTTTTTCATCAGATTTTACCAAAATTCTTTTTTTTTTCAAAAATTAAATAGCTGATGCTAAATTTACACTTTGCTATGAGAAGTATGGAGAAAACTTTTGGGTTTTCTTATTATCTCGAGTATACATCTGTCCAAATTAATTTTAAGCAAAATTCTGTGTAACTCCGGTAAAGGGTGAAGTATTAGTCCGTTATAGGACAATGATAAACACCCATCAAAAATTCAATGTCAAAGAGTTCAACAAAGTCAAGTATTTTTTCTGCTTATGTAAATGCTGTAGGCATTTTTTTTCCAGTAATAAAAATTTTTTAAGATTGCTTAAAAATTTTAAAAACGAAAAACTGATCTATTCGTTAAGATATATTTATAAAAATTCACACAAAAATAATATTGCGAAATCATTTATTCATAGAAAATTAAAAGAAGAAAAAAAAGAGTGAATCATTTTTAATAACTGTTGGAAAAACCATCGTTTCTATGCGAAATGCAATTGTACAATACTTATAATCAGATAAATTTGCAAAAAAAAAATATTTTTTGCTCAAATTTTAATTGAGAAAAAGTGCTACTTGTAATGAAAATTTTCCATCAAAAAAAAAAATCACTGTTAACTTATTATAGTTTTGCTATAATAAGTTGTTAACTCTGTTACTTATTATATTTGCAAAAATGCAGTAAGTTAGTGCAGAACATTTCAGCTTTATTATATTTACATATATCAATTTCGGTGATACGAGAGAAGGAAAGAAATGAGTTAGGCAATTTTGTTGCTTATGTTAAATTTACTAATCATATTAGTCATTAACACGAGTGATATTTTTATTTTAAATTTGAATATATTAATTTGAATGATCCACAAATCATATTTTCTGTTTTTCAGTTACAAATATTGGTATCACAAGAGAAATCATACAAACATGTGCAAATTTGATATTTTAGCTGTATTCATTAAAAAAAAAAAATTCGTTTAAAAATTTTTCATTAAAAAAAATTTCATTTAAAAAAATTTTTGGAAAGTTATCAACAATACATGATCATATTTCATTGAATGCTGTAAGAATTCCAAATTTTTAGTTACACTTATACATTTCGGAAGTTAGAAAAAATGCGATATTATCTAAAATTTATTAGTGAAATTGTTGCCTGCTATTTCTATCTTCTTTTAAGCAAATTAAAATTTTTTTGAGTTTTTTTCTCGTTTTTTAAATAACACACTTGTATGATTCTTTATAATACATATTCGTCATGAATTATTCCCAAATCAACGTAGTTTAAAGTAATTTTTTATTTGCAATTCTAACATAAATGATTATTCTTTGCTTTGAGTAATTTTTTAGCAGCAAAAAAAAAAAGAGAAAAGATTTGTTGTTTCCTAGCCAAATTACCATTTAGATTTATTTAATTAATTTGAAATAGTCCAAAAATGTAAACCGAATAAAGAAATAAGAAGTTCAAATGTGAGTAGTAGTAATAGCTATGACAACGAAATTTGATTTTCAAATAAAAAATAAGTGAAAAATTGCTGCTGATAAATGAACAAATTGGTTGTAATAAGTGCCTTTGAAATAGTAAGAAAAAAAAATTTATAATTATTACGAAATATGTATGAGTCACAGTGTTAGAAAAAAAGCCTACCTTTACTACAAGATGAAAAGCCTTTCATTAATATACCGGTGATCCGGATGTTTTCATGACGGAATGATGACGAACTGAATGCATCCGTTGTACCGGCTGATTTCGGAATGAATGCATCCGTTGTACCGGCTGATTTCATCGATTAAGAATTTTAGGTGGGTAGTGGTTATACGGTTGTTAAGTTAGCATAGGTTAAATTTTAGGGTATTTAGTGCCAGTAGATTGATTGCATTGTAATACGATGAAAACAGCTATTACGAGAATATGTACAGCTAAGCTGATGTAATTCTTACAATGTCATCTTTCCAATGATATCATTTGCAATTGAAATAAAAATTTTTGTTGTAGTTGTAAAATTTTCTTTACACTATCAATTATTGAATTTCGTGCTTTCAAAGATTTTTTTCATGAAAAATCTACCATTTTCTTCAATTCATATTTGCAATTAATTTCAAAGCAATACATGTGAAAAGATAAATAGCTTCACGAGAAAAAAAAACGTCCTAAAATGATCACTACTAAAATTATATCTCTTTCTTTTTTTTTTTTTTTTTGCAATAAAAAAATTTTAAGATTTCAATGATATATTACTTGTTCATTTTGTAATTCTATCAATTAGTTTATTTTTACAACCAAATCTACTATTTCAATTTTTTTACTTGATTCATAGAGTAAATCTTTTGGGTACCAAAAAGAACTTGTATCTTTTTGGGCAAAAATGTTACATTCCATGCATCATTCACAAATATTTTTCTTTTCCGGTAAAAGTTTACAGTTAATAAAGCTGAAATATATTATTAGCAAACAAGTTACACA